AGGGACATTCCCTACCCACTTTAGCGGCTACGCACGCGGTATTGGGATGTCTGCAGTCCCTCATCACTAGCAAAGGAGAGCCGACAAGACGTTTTTTATCTGAGAGTTGTGTACGGTAGACCGGAATACACTTTGTCAATTGCTGTATCACTCGTGAAACCCGAGCGAACCAGACTTGACACAACGTCCCCAAAACACCTTTCGTCTTGAGTAGGCAAGCTTGTTAGCGCCACGTTCGGCTGCTGAAAAGTCCTTCGCTGCCTTCAATTCTGCACAGCCAACTTTATATTCATGCCATAGTTCGTACAGATCTTTGGTAGTTTTGATAGTCGGGCTGCACGTTGCCTTGTAGGGGGTACTTCTCCGACAGGAATGTGGGCAGAGACATCTCGACGAACGCCAGGCTGTATGGCAACGCGTCGAACTATTGCCTGGAGTTTTTGCAGATCTCTCTGGATATCGCGTCGTAATTGCTGAACTTCATCCGCTGTATGGCGGCGAATTGCTGCTATTTGAGCGTACAGTGCTGCGAACTCGCGACGACTAACTTCCCCACCCGACACATTACCACCAGAACGTGTAACAACTGCATTGTTCTCTTGATCAGGGCCCTCACTGCTGTCCATTATGACGAGGTTTAGCTGCGAGCCATCGCCAGTGACGAAAATTCCCTCCCGAACAACAGGATTTAGCCCTGAAGTGTCAGCAATATTAGCAAATGCGCGTAAAATTCTCTGCTGTAGCTTTTTCGGTAATAAAGCGTACTCGTAGTTCTCAGATGGTTCCATCGCCGCCCACAATAATGGCAATGCCAATGTAGCTGCAATGGATCCTCCCATGAGCTGTTATACGGCAGGTGCAATATGATCTACGAGAAAAGCGGTCGAAATGCGGCCAGCTCCAGTCCCCATATTATAAAAGCACGGCCCCTCTGGACCTGTAAACGTTGCTGCCGTCAATGCATCAGGATACGGTTGGGTGTTGTCTATGTAGACGTCAACAACCCCTTTGCGCGCTCTCCAACGTCCTCGTCGGTTAACAAAGTCCTTTGAGCTACCACTCCGAGTCGCGTACGTTGCAGCACCTTTGCGAAGGCTGTGTGTCCCCAGCTTTCCTGTCTTGAGCTTCTTAAATGAGTCGTTCTTCACCATGCTAGTCAAGAATCGTCGAACTACATGATCACCGTCCTTAGGATTGCCGTACACAAACTCAGAGCTCATGACACTTGACGTAGACTCTATAAAGACAGCGAGGTTGAGAAGTACACACATCTTGGGATCCAGGCTATCAATAATGATCTGCTCTGGAGCATCTCGCTCTTCGTGAATATTTTTTGACCACCGCATCTGCAAAAGTAGTGTGGAAGGGTATTGTGTGTTAGGTGAGAGGTTTGCGAATTGCAACTTCATCATGTCGTCAATCCGGGCGCAAATATGCCACTGCAGTTTTAGCACACTGCTAACCAAGTATGATGAGTCATCCGATTTCCATCGAGCCCGAACTAAAAGCAGTAAGTTCAAGAACTCAGCAAACTCCACAGCTCGGCGAGCTTTGGATTCTGCCCCCTCGCGACGTACCTCAAATTTTTTCACCTTCTTGATCAGCTTGTTCACAGCGTCCGAGCGTGTTGGGTTGCCGCGTTTGTTCACAGGATCCCATGTTGTATTTATTCGCGTCATAAAAGATGATATAGCTTTCTTAGCAAACTCAAGCGTGCTTGAGCGGCGGTGAATAGGTTTCATGGATTCATCTGGCTCTGGGTCGCCGTAAGCCTGCTGGTTCATCCAGCGACAGACGTGCTCTGGTGTGATGTTAAGGAGCTCGCTCATAGTGAAGACGTAGTCGCTGCTGTACGCCACGCCGTTCGTGAAGGCCATGAACCTCATGAGCTCCGGTTTGTAGCGACTTGTCATGATGGCGTGTTTTTCTGTACTGATTATTAATATTTTCCATGAAAGCCAGTGTAAGTCGACTTATTTTTTGTAGAGAGGCTACACTGGACGGCTTGCAACTCTACACAGACTTTTTTGTATCAGTCCCGGTTGCAAAAGATGACACTTTGTGCTATGGTACATGCAACAATAGTTGCCGACGACACCTACTTGAGCGGGACCGTACCGACCACGATCCAGGCCGGTACCATGCCATTGGCCAATCACAGACTGCCAATCTAAAAAAATACAACCTCGGTTGCAAGTGGCTGGTAATGTATAAATACCTCCTATACTGAAATATCCCAACTTTGGCAAGAGGTTCAAGCTCTATGTGGATTTGTCTCATTTGGCGGTAGGGGCCTGTCTAATGCAGGAAGTAGACAAACGTGACCGAGCGGTTGCCTACGCTAGTAAGATGTTGGTAGGATCTCAAAGGAATTGGATCAACAAGACCTGTGGCACAACCGAAATTGAGTGCTGGGGAATCGTCTGGGCTACGCGAAAGTTCAAGTGCTATCTCGATCACGGTGAATTTGACCTGTATACGGATCATCAAGCACTTACGTGGATCTTTAGTGACAACACAAGAGCGTCGAACGCTAAATTGGCACGATGGGCTGCTGGGTTGTCACAACTGAGGTTTAAGGTGTATCACAAGCCTGGGACGTCCATGGGACACGCCAATGGATTGTCGAGGCTATATCATCGCGCTGGAAGGAACTATAGAAGCCATCACGATGATGACTCTAAACGAGAAGAAAGATCTTCTGAACGAACTTGAGACATTCTCTGGCGAGAGAGAAACAGAGATCTGAGACGTGGGCGGAGCGTTTTGCGTTGCACATGCGGGAGTCGACGCGGAGAGTGGAACCTCGGCCAAGCGATCTCAACCCCGAGAAAAAAACAGGGAGGAGAAATTACAGAGCAGGTGCCCATCTTCCCTAGCGTTCAATATGCGAGCTTTTGTGATTGGAATATGAGAATTTTAGAACAATTTGCGTGAAAGAGCAAGAGCGAGTGCCGTGGATACGTGCCATGAGAGCATTTCTAAGAGACGGTGCTCTGGCCATAGATCCTCAACTGAGGGTAACAGTGCTAAAGATGTCCCCCATCACTTGATGAAGAACGAGGTCCTAATGCACCGCGTGCACTTAGGGACTCGTGCCGGTCCTGCGCGGACTGCTATAGTTCCTGTCGTTCCTCTACCGTTTATCGAGACGGCTCTACATTATTGTCACGCTGACATTTTCTCGGCTCATTTGGGAAAGACGAAGACATTGGGCAAAGTGAGACGCCATGC